GTAATCAACTATATCAGAAACACCTGCGTTAAGTCAGTGTGAAGGATGTTGTGACAATAAGCTCTTCGATAAAAGACTGGTCATATCCATCGGCATCGACAAGTTGCTGGATCTCTGGGGATGTACAACAGGGGGGAGCGCGGCTTGAAGCCTTCCGTGACGATGAGCTTCCTGAATGTAGGACCCTCTCATATGATAGACTTGCAAGTAATTCGGCAGTGTACCAAAGTATCATTTGTCATGCTTATGCAAACCACTCCACAGAAGGTTCGCGAGGCCTTAGCCAATGTGGGTGTGTTGTGCTCCAATTCAAAGCTGAGAATCGTCACTCGAAAGGAGTGCCCTTCCATCAGTGACAGCAACCTCATAAAGAATGCTAGTCTATTACAACAAGCTTTAAAGGACCATTGACTCGATATTCAGGCATTGTCAAAGGGACATTTTTTTTAGTTTCTTTGGCATGTAGGGTTAACGTTCTCTGTACATGAGAGCCAGTAAACACATACAATATATTTTAATTTGGTGTTAAAGTGTGTTGCCCAGCATCTACAAACCAACCCCATTGCAATGGACATTATCGTTATTAGTCAACACTGCTGAATTGGCAAACTCTTTGTCCTGGATGCGGCTGAAATTGCTGACAGAGATGCTGGATGTCGATTCACCCTTCGTTCTTTATGTGCAACATGTTCAACTAACAGCAAACTGCAGAATGCTGCAAGAATGTCATCTGAGCACGACTAACACCTAAGTCGCATAATTTTTACACATAACAGTGATATCACCCTTTCGATAATGAACTCAAGTTTTTTCTTCAAAGAAGTGGTATTAAAATACTCAAAATGCATTCCAAGCAACAAATTTTTTAAACCAATACTTTTATTAAGAGCAACAATATGACATTTCTAAAATGCATGTCAGTACTCCCTTATCATTGCAATGCTCACTTACCTGTCAGTACTCCCTTATCTCTGTCAGGCAATGCTCAACTATCTCATGCTGCAAGCTTTCCCGCTGGTATCTTACTACTTGGCATAACATTATTAACACTAGTGAATATAGTTTCCACATATTCTAAAATTAAACAGCAGCCTATACATAATCTATTAATGACTGCTATGTTCTTTTTGTTTTACTTTTTCACGAAAAAAATGGTAGTACCGTTCACTCTAAATAAGTTTAGTAAAGTCATGCAGTGCACTTGTTTTATAAAGATACTATCATTATGAAATGGCAGAACCAAAAGATTATAAACACGAAGAATAATACATGAAGACGGGTGTCAGACCCTCAACTGATCTTTCATTCATCTTTGACACACACTTCTATACCCACATGTGGTCCCACATAGCATAACACACAAGAGTAACCAAGAGATATCAAAACTGCCCATTCAAATACACGATTTCTTTTTCCTGCTAGGTCATAGATGGAACGCTTATACATGAATTCTTGTTATTGTGTATGTGCAATGGCTCAATAATCTTGCGAGTAGTCTGGTTATGATTTCTAGCGATTAGTTATTTCGAATTGTGAAGTATATCCACACCCCTTGTAATGCGTAACTGTATGCGCTAGACAATATGCACGAGTATTTGCTTTGCAATATTAATGTTAGGTTGCGTTAATGTTAAATTAAAAGGGTACGAGGCAAATACTTGCACATTTGGTCTATGAGCCTCCGGAAAAGGTTCAGGTGAAAGAGATTTTCCAACGAGATATGAAGCCTTACGATACTTAGAATTTCATTAAATACATTGAACATTTCAGGCACGAAGGACCAGTTAGTAATCATAAAAACCTTGTATATATAGTTTTTTTAGATTGTGGAAAAATGGTGTGGAATATTTTTGCAGCTTACGTTTACATAAAACTAAAGCATTTGATGAAGCATTAAAGGAACCGACAAATGATTTTCCTTGACCCTTCTTTTATGACATGACAGAAAGCTCACCCTTCGTAATGTGTGTAGCTGCAGTAGTTAATCCCAAAAGCATGTAGATGTTTTTCAAGCTGTATTTTTCAGTCTGAAAGGCTCTAAGCACATATGTACCTTTCTTCTAACAATGCTGAGAATTGATAGCGATGCCGCCAGCCCTTCTCGCGATTTGTGAAAGCTGTCATTCTGCTTTTGCAGGAATTCCTGTACCTATGCTTAGCCACCCATATTTTCAGCTTTTAAACTATTTTTGAAAGTAACAAGCTGTTACAATAAGATTATGTGGCATCACACACCTTCCCTGTATTCGTACCATGTTCTGTGCGCCTGTACTCAAAGTTGATTTGATTCGATATGTGGGGTTTAACGACCCAAAACCACCATATGATTATGAGAGACACTGTAATGGAGGGCTCTAGGAATTTCGACCACCTGAGGTTCTTTAACATGCACTGAAATCTGAGCACACGAGCCTACAGCATTTTCGCCTCCATCGAAAATGTAGCCGCCGCAGCCAGCATTCGATCCTGCGACCTACGAGTAAGCATCTGAGTACCTTAGTCACTAGACCGGCACAGCGAGGCTGCACCCAAGGTTGCCTGCACCTGTGTCATGGGTGGCTTGTCCCGGCGTCATTACTCTCTCTATACACAAGCCAAGCCATGTCACCGAAAACAGCACTATGCGTATACACGGCCATGCTGAGTAGCAGTGCACATCATTTCTGAGACGAAGTGTAGGTAGCAAAACTATGTTGCTCCAAAATCTTGGCGACCTCGGAAACTGTGTGCACGGTTGCGCGAGCTTGCTGAAATGTTGCTTAAGACGCACTGGCGACCATGAGATCATTACATCGCGCGAAGGCAGTGCAACGTTAATACTTACAACTTAAGTAGGCCTATACATAATTTTTTGTGGAGTAATATCTTTTAATATAAAGAAACTAACAATATTTAAATACTAACTAGGAAATAATCGACCGCGTGCAGCAATAAACGGTCACATAGCCTGGTACATCGGATCATTCATGTTATTGCTGCCAGAGGCGCCACTGGTAATTTTTCGTGACTCCTAATGAAGAAGTAAAAATAGAAATACAGCTCTCACGAAAAAAAACAGCGTTGGTTTGAGTCAATGTGACAGACAACTTTCCATCAGTAGAGTCGTCTCACTTCATGTTCTGGACAGTTGTCAGTCCCTTTAATTAAAAAAAAATATGAATTGTATTGCAGCAAATTGTGAGTAGACGAACGATGACTGAAAGGTGGGGAGCAAATTTTTTATAGAAATATGCAGTCAGGTGTGCACCTGTCCATTGTTTTAAACATGGTAAACCCGGTACAACTGCGCCATATTAAAGTCATGAATGCTTGCATTCAGAATTCTGGGACTGGTAACTGCTCCGAAAGGCTCATTTGCTGTTCCAAAGCGGGGTTTTATCTGCTCCAGAAGATGCACCAATATGGCTTCGACCAATCACATAACTGTATTCCCTGTATGCTTGTTCGAGAGAGAGTAGCACTATGCAAGTCTTGAAGTGACTCTTCACAGTTTATTGTGTACTGGTTTTACTTATTAGTCAAGGCATTGCGTCACCTAATCCCCATCTTCATAGCCAACAGTATTATGTAAAGCTGACTGGCAAATCAACAAGCAAAACTTCATACAGCACAGAAAGCTGGTCACAATTCAATGTCAGTCAGTCGTTCATGGCTGAAATACCACATGTACCCTACCGGAGAAGCACTATATGAAATGTGTGCATTCTCAGTTACAAGTGCTTCAACAGAAATAGAAGTACTCAAGGATTTATTAAATGTAAATAAATGAAAATGGTTAAACATAATGCTTATCATAACACTTTCAACCATCTGGCTTGTTCTGCCAGCTTAAAATGCCTGGAATTACCTTCCGTTTCTTTTTTTGCAAAAGGCCATCTTGTGCCTCATGCAAGGAAATTTACATGGGCACCCTATATACTCCTGGCAAAGGTAAATTCTCGCAGTAGTGTTATGGCAGTTTTGTTCACGTGCTCATACACGTATTAAAAAAATTTTTCCAGACTGTTGCAGAAGTCGATCCTGGGGTTCAATATTTTTTTTTTCATTTATAATTTTTTTTTGTTCTCAAGCTATGCCACTTTCCCACAATGGAGGCGTAGCTAAGGACCAGTCACTGTTAATATTACCTTGAAACCTTGAAGGACGTATGTAAATAAAATTTAAACATTAATTTTCACTGTGTGATTGCACAGGTTTGATGGTTTCATTCTGCTGTTACACATTTGCTAGGGACACAAGTAATTGTTCCATGCAGTTTCAAGGCATCCTGCCAGACATCTCTAATTCTTTTATCTTCCATAAGCTAAATCCACACAATTCCTACAAGTTTTCTGACCTCAATACTGCATTTATTCTTTTGCCATCTTTAACTGCAACATATCTTTCGGATTCATTCTTTTACTCATGTAGACCAATGAGTGTGCTACACATCACATAACCCTAGTACTATTTCTTACAAACCCTAGTACTTCACTGTATGTAAAGCAGGTCAGACTGTAGTCCATCATGCTGTCAACAGTTGCTTATAACTTTTACATAATTTTCATTTTTCATCACCCAATTCTTGCTTGCAAAACAGCTATCTGTTTTTTTTTTCACCTCGCACTATTGTAATGCCGCTGTCAGTGATACGAAATTGCCTGCTAAATAGTTTCCCAATCTATTTGTTGTGTAGCTCTCTTATCGTAATCCAAATACCTGACACTTGTGGTGTGATCATAGGTAAATCTATTAGTATACTCCTCTATATTGTGGACAAGGCTCCCGCCTGGACAGCTAAGCATTAAAAAAAATTCTTCAGTGGTCAGCACACATTTTATTTTGGTCACTGATTTCCAACCACATGAACTCCCATGAAGTCCTCGACTACCTTTTTAGCTGCATGAAGAGGTTTATCACATACAAGAAATACTTGTTCGGAAAGCTACAATAAAATATTTAGTTACGATTGATGTAAATATATTCAATCTATAGTGCGGAGAGAGAGTAAAATGCAATGGTTTTGTTTGGAAAACATTTATACACCGAACAGCATCAACACTTTGCAAATTGAAACAGGGCAATTTCACTTAGTGAACAGCACTTTTAATCAACTGGTACATATGATATACAATATTCGACAAGCTCCATATTTACATGACTCGCGAGTGGCCTCACAAACAAGGCTACAAAATTAAAAATATTTGAATGTATATTTCTTCAGCTGGAGAAGGAAAGAAAAAAAGGTGACTAGATCCTGTACAGGTAGGTGTCCTACATGTTGCTGGGATACAACACAACCATCTAGTGAAAACCCTGTGCAATAAGTCAATGGAATTAATATGGACATGCAGTAGTGACAGTTGAAATAGTGACAATATACTCAACAATTCTTGGCAAGAAAGAAGGCAACACCAACAAAGTGTTTAGTGTGAACAATTTGAGCCAGTACATCTTGACGAGAGATTATTCTTGCTTACTTAAAGGGCAAAGGTACCTAAAGTTTCCAGATCTCTACCGTACAGAATGGGGAAGATTAAAACGAAACACAGCTGCAAGGTAACGTAGAGCCGACTGTGCCTACGGAGCAAGCTCTGGCTATATCACTTCAAAAACTCCTCCGTGCACTACAACAGAATAGCCATAAGCATTTCAATCTTTTGCATGCACGACAGAAATGACCCTCATGCAGCATGCAGAAACAAGCGCAAGCATTTCTTGCTCTGCATAAGCAGCGTGTCTAGACCTTGTCATATAACCTTGCTGTAGCTTGACTGTGTAAAAGCGATTATAAAAAAAAGAGAGAGAGGAGGCTACTGACATTACCTGCTTCATACAAAGCAAAATATCTAACAGTAGTGTAACTGGGCCATCAATGTGCTTGCGAGATAGAGCAAATCATACCATGGTAGTGAGTTATGGAAAATATTATTTAACATGCAAATTACATAGCTTTAAGCACTATTTATATGCCACAAATACTTTTTCTCGCATATAAAATATTGTTATAAAATTCAAACAACATTAACACCATTTGCAGAAATGTTTACAGAACTTGCAGAACTGCTGCAATGCAGTTTTTAAGGTACCTGCCAATGCACTGTATCTTCGTGCGGCCAAAATTTTGGGCCTTGCACAAGAGCTGATTTTTCAGCGAAAATACTTGTTTACATATTGTTGGCCACCTAAGTCGAAAAGCAGAGCGGCTAAAAACAGATGCAGGTTCAAGAAAGGATTCGAACAGACACATAGCAAAAGATGCAAGCTTTTCCCAAATGAACTTGCAATTCGTAATTGGTGTTTGATACTGTTTGTCGATCTGCTCTAGTGCTTCAAAAATAACTATAGTAAAAACTAATAACAGGCGTGTTACGCCTCTGCCTTTTAAAGGATGCCAATTCCTGGAGAGTATTCAGGGTGTGCATTGTTCAAGAGGGCAAACCGAGTCAATACACAAAACTCTAATTTGTGGTTCTCCCAAGATAATTCGGGCCATCCCCCAAGGAAAGGTACCATTTGTGGAACAGCAACAAATGGCTACTCGTACATCTTGTAGAAATTACATATGTTTTGACAAAAGGCATAGCCAAACAGTGTAAAACAGAAAAACTACACTCCACTGCATACTTTCTGTATTCCTCAGTCAAAACCCTGCACTTGCGCAGCTTGCATCCTTAGCTAGGTAGACGGCTCAATGAGATCACACAGATGGTAATGTCTCTGTTGTCAGACTTCACAAGAGAAATATCTAGAGCATGCAATAAAGAGGAAAGGGCAGATGATGCTGATTTGTCATGGCTGAGCTGCTCTGGGCATGTCGTGCCTTTGTTAACTGTGATAACTGAAGGCCTATATAAAACTGCCATAATTGGTAACACCTTTAGGCATACGGTTTAGCCAAGCTACTAAGTTTGTAACTAAAAATACATCATCACTTGCTGGACTAAGCAAAGCACTTACTAATTGTTTATCATTAGCTACTTCATGGCGTATAGGCTTTTATAACTTTTACTGTTGAAACCCGATTTAACGAAACCTTATTTCCCGGTATAACGAAGAAATTTCCATTCCTTGAAAGGTACCAATAGGATTCAAATTTTAATCGACTAAAATTAACAAAACTATCATTGCACCAAACCAGATCTAATGAAGGTTTTCCAGAAATAATTTAGTGAAAAATTCAGTGACTTTTTTTCTAATTTTGACACACACTGCCTTTTTTTGGTCTTACACTCTAACGCCATCACACTAAGACATCTAGCCACCCTATTCTCGACCGTAGTTTCATTTTGCCGAGGTTTTATGCATAACTTTACATGGATGAATGGACTGAACAGTCTGTAGTACTCTCCTGCATCCAAAAGCAACAGATAACACTGGTTGGTACTTCCTTGCACAATCATTGCGTTCATTCTCATCTCTGAATATCGGACACCTGTCCTGGCTTCAGGTGACTGTACTTCACCTGCACTGCCCAGACATGGGAGGTTGCATGTCCATGCCACACTCTCAGACGTTTTGCACGAGCAGGCACAGCTTGTTGTAAGTTGAATTCCATGTTAGCTTTTGGGTGCGGCTACTTTAAATTTTAAATTTCTAAGGACTGAAAAGTCTTGTTTTTTTCCAATTTTATGGGCTTCCAGATTTAATGAAATAATTCGAGCACAGTCACTGCTTCGTTAATCGGGCTTCAAATGTATAGCCATTATAGCATAGCAAGCTAAACGTCAAATAGTGTACCGGCTTTGTTTTCTTCATAGCAGTACCTCAAAGTACCGAAGCAGTAATCGTTCGAAGATTCAAGTGAACATCAAACCTTGCCACTATCTGTCCACATTATCAATGAAAGTTGATAGTGAAATGTACATGACAATACAACAAGATAAGGAGTTAAGACAAGCTCGTGCACAATCACACACATCCAAAAAACTGGCACAAAACAAAGAGTGTGAATAGCCCAGCACTGACCCATCCTCTTCTTCACCTTCTAGTTATTCTTTTATTATAAGTGCCTAGACAATTATGTATTAATGTTACATCCTTAAGTTGAAACAAAAGGTGAATAAAATATTTTTGGCTACAAACTGATTCTTAGCACCTTCCTGGTCATTGCCCCAGATTCGATGATAAAATATATGCATAAAACATTAAGAGGGACTGCTGCAGGTTGTGTGTTGGACAATTCCTGGTGAATGCTGCCATATTAATTGAGCAAAGCAGTAATGGTCGGCAAGAAAGCCATGTGATGTGCGAGAAAAAATATATCTTAAAAAATTCAATTATAGCTTGAAACAATGCAATTTTCTGCTATGAAGTGTCAAACAGCACTGCTACATTTGCACAATGATGAGCCTTGCAAATTGTTCACAGCAGGGATTCAATGGTTGCTGTTGTATTACTGTCTGGCTAAAAAAAAGAATGATTCCAAACTGTTTTTCAGTGATTCGGATACTCAGCAGTTTGGGAGATTAACTTGTTTTTAAATTTTTTTTAAAAGACTACTCAACTAGACTGTGCACTGAACAATGAAACCAATTACTGCAATTATTCCAGCTGTCTTCAATATTATTATTTGTATTGTATGACATGCTCAGACTGATGTCATTGTCTTGCATGTGAATCAGCATGGTATTGCTACAAGCACCCTGCAGTACTGCAGGTGCTTTTTTTGGCTATACAATAAAACAAAATGAAAAGTAGTAGCTTGCTTGGCACCATATGTTAACTGTTGCATACATGTTCAAACGGGCAGGATACACATCTTGTGCCATCTTTTTACAGTTGACCCTGTTTACAAACAGTTCTTAACAGTCTCGTTTGAACTAGTCATGGATACATGGACATCGAAGGCATAAGTAGGAGCTGCCAGTGAATTCAATTACAAATAGTGAAATCACTCGCAGATTCTGTGGTCAAAGAGCACTCTACCACAGGCATTCTACACACTGTATGACATAACTTTTGCAGAACTTAAAGAAATAAAAAAGAAAGAAGGAAGGAAATACCATAAACAGATTTCTTGGCATTCAAAGCACACAAACCATATAACAAAATCAGAACACAGTCTCATCACTGCTCTTCGACCTGTAAAAACCTCAGCAATCAATTGCATAAAAGATGAATGACAATTATTAATATTCAACAGCAATTGCTCACTGTACCTGCCAATTCTTAAAGTCATGTATATTTCATATAGTCACAACTGAAGCCAATGTCTGGAAAGTATTACAACCACTATCTTTCCACTGCACAAGATATGTTTCAGGCAGTGTGAACTGTACAATTCAACAGCAGCTGTCCACTATAGGTGATGTAGTGTAATGCCACAAAAAATTAGCTTGGCAATGGCAGAAGAGAAAGATGTGCTAATGGCTAATCAGCTACCCTACATTTTATATTCTTGCAAAAACTGTTTTCAAGAGTGGCATGTCAAAATACGCAGCTGGAGTAAAGCTACAAATGTACACTAGACTTCACAGGCTATAGTCACAAGCTGCGTGAAGTCAATAGAAAAAAAAGGGGGGAGGTACAGGGGCAGGGCTTGCGTAAATTTAACCATGTTGTAGCCAAAATAAAGGTTTCCTTCTTTTTCCGTTTATTTAACAGGCAGTCACAGCATTCACAAACCTAGCCACATGGCTTTAAAAAGAAGTTCTCTTGTTTTGCTTCATACTAGGTCATAATCTGGCTTGAGAGAAACAAAAAGAAATACCAAACATTTATAAAATGCAACCCAAAAATAGTGCCCGAAATTTAAACCACTCCAGTTGCATTTTGTCCACATTTCAAAAGCATCCACACTGCACACATGTGCACATGAAATCTTGATTTTGAATAAACCAGAAAATTGCCATTGCACTGTCTATTACACTGTGACTATGCCAAGAGAATCAGACTGCATCTTAGCAAAAGATGATAGTTCTTGTATCCTTGTCAAATTCTTCATCATAAATAGAAACTGTGAGTTTGCATATAATAGAATTGAATGCCATGCCACTCTCTTTTATGAAATCATCTCAAGCATAAATTGAACTGTTCCCTTTTTTTGCCGTAAAATGCACATTTTTGCCTTTTTGTAATAAACCTTATATGTCACATTATCATAGTGATTCATATAGATAAATGCCACCTTATTAAATGCCCCATATCTGACTTCAGCTGAATGGCAGGCTATATATAACTTTCGAAGAGATTATGCACGAGCACTAGCACATTGCGTAAGGGTTGTCCTCACATGCAAAAGAGAGAAGAAAAAGCTAGGTGCAAGATATTAGCTAAGTGAGATAGTTCAGAAAAAAAAAAAGAAAATCATTTTGATAATTGGCAGACAGAGGAAGTTTTTCACACCTTTTTAAATAATGGGGTGTGGCATCAAAGGGCTCAATTAATGATAAAATTAATGCATTCTTTTTCATAGAGTAGGGCATAGACGAGAAGAAACACATTTATTAAATTGTCTTTCCATGTGAAAAAGCAAATGAAAAGGGAGGGGGGCTGGATTGAACCACGAGTATGCAGAGCAATGCGATGCCAGACTGTTGTTGGCTGGCACCTAATTCTGCCCTTCAAGAAAATGGCATACAAGGTGTACCTGTATGTCTTTGGCTGTAGCAACCAGCGAACAAGCAGCAGGCTTCAAGAAAGAAAAGCCTCTGGTATATTTATGTTCCTTTATTAATTAATTAGTGTGAGTCCTTACTTAGCACTAACTAAATTAAGGCTACTAAATTAATACTAGGAAAGAAGAGCAAATATTAAGGGCTTGTTTTTTCTTGTTCGACACAACATTAATGAGAATAGACAATGCTGTCAAAGAAAATATAGGGGATGTTAATAGTAGTAAATGCAATATAAATGTGAAGGGAAAAAACAAGTGGATGAAAAGATGAATTGCCGTGGACAGAAACCAAACCTGTGATCTTCTAATAGAGCATAGGACACATTATTTGAAAGTAGCAGGTTCGGTCCCTGCCCATGGCAAGATATCTTTTCGTCCACTTTCTCTTTCTTCACATTTATGTTACATTTACTACTACTAACATCCCCTATACTTTTCTTGGTATTATTGTCTGTTAGTTGACATTAAATTAACACTAGCTTTTTAGAGCAAAACTAAAAACATTTTCATTTGGCATTACCTGCACGGTTATCTTTACCCTGTCAAAGGAACACCACAAGGTTCCATGAAGGCTGATGCAGCACACTGCTTAGATGACATAGCAGCACTGCTCCCAAATGGAGTGCCAATGAATTAATTATTTCAATTAGGTGGTGAACGTGGAATGCACTGATCCAGTAAGTACGTCTGGCTGTCCTGAGCTCTCCTTCAATTCGATGTGTGCAGCAACAGTAAATGTGACAAGCTCATAAAGTTGTTAAACAGCCCTGAAGTCATTACAACCTTTCACCATTTTAAAATCCAACACCCCTTTGAGAAAGCCTGAATCTGTGCCTGGACTGTTATAGATTCACCCTCTTTGCAGGGGCATATCTGCCAAGTTCAAGGATTCTGAATCCGGGAGACTTCTGCAATGCGGGGAAGGGGGGGGGGGGGGTTGCCACGTCGAATTATTTGCCCCCATTTTTTTGGCACCAAAGGACAAAAATACATAGCAAAAAACAAAGGGGGGATTCCAATCGCAAGCGCGAAAAACAAGAGAAGGGGGGTCCCAATTGCAACCACTGGCGTTGCGGTTTTATATTGGCTTGTAGTGGACGAACACACGAGGGTAGGGTTTCCTACTAAGAAAGAAGTCTCAAAGCGAGAGCGCAAATACTCCCAAAATTTTGTGTCATAAAAACAACTAGCAAAATCAATTTCTGTCGAAACAACCTGCGCATGTCTTCCTGGGACACACGTGAACGGAAGGAACGGCGCAGCTGGCTGCCACGAAAGTGCGGGCCAAAGCTTTGCTCGCTACTAGATTCTTTTTACAGGAATGCCAAAACACTTCTACCCTTTACTGCCTTTAATCTATCGCTGCGTTAGCCGCGTGCCCTTAGAGCTCGTAGATCACTTTCGCATCACCGCGACCGCGGTTTTGTGTGCGGCGTTTGCGACAAACGGTAGTTCCATTTTCAACCCGCTGCGCTAACTGCACACGTGACTTCAAAACGAAGTTGTTTTATGCCATATATGACCGCATCTGCCAGTGTTTTTATCCACAGTTTGCGGAAAGCAGCGTGGCTTTGACTAGTCGAGAGTTGCACGCGCGCACTCTTTTGAAGTTCTGTCAGTTACGCCGTCGCCATACATGATCGTGTCAAGAACAACCGCAGTTAGCAATGATAACCACACACACTGTAGAAAGCAGTGCGTGCGCTTGATGTATGCATAATACCAAAGCTTCGAGCATGCTCCTCTTTGCCTTCGTTCGACAGTTTTGGTACTAAAGTTTATATCATCCGCTGTGATTAGGAAAAGTGTTCGGAACGTGCATTCGAATTTTGGCCCAATGGACACAGTAGAATTTGGCTGGGGAAGTTCACAAACTTGTATCTGCCGCAGTTCGAAGAAAGCCTGAAGCGGATTGACCTGCATTTTTGTCAATGCGGCTTGAGCACACGCAGAAATATCGATTTCCGGAAGATTTTCATAACAAACATACAAACGGAAGAAGCAGTCGAAATCCGACAGCCTCCCGGACAATCTGGGTGACTTGGCAGGTATGCAGTGGGTTCACTTGATCTGGCCAATCTATGATATGTGCAGTAGAATAATTTCGTTTCCAACGCTTTCTTATTGCTATGAAAAAACACACGAAGTTCACCACAAGCAGGAATGCAGCAGCCACAGTGAAGTAACACTTGTCAAAATTCAAGGTTATGCATGAAGCTAGAGTAGTTTGTTGGCAGACCAGTACTGGTACATGTGCAAGCCGGAGACAGTTCTTAACTGAAAGAAAATTTCATTGTTTTTCAAATGTGTGAAAAAAGCTTGCGGGCAAAACATTGACAGAGTTTGCAAAATATAACTTAATGGGCAGTATAAACCACAGTAAACACATGCTTGCCAACTACACACATCACGTCAGCCACTGTTCATATGTGAAGATTCTGGGTGGGTCAAAACATTCTGGATCATGTAATAAACATTCAGCATACAGTGGGAGAGCATACATTGAAGTGCCAGCCCCTTCTTGCCTGAAAACTGGTTGCACTTGCAAGATTGGCCTGCCATATGCCTTTTCCTCATTGCATGTTTTCTGCCTCTTCAAAAGCTCTCAGGGTTTTTGCACTACGCTAATGCTATGAAATGATGTTACTCGAGACAGGTTTTGGGGCAGTGGATAATTAAAGAGGGTGGAGGGCAGTACTATTGTTTGCATGAGAGTGACATTGCGTGTGTGACTGATTTTTTGTGTATCTCTATCACAATATAATATTTTGATACAGTTAGTACACTGCAAATATATTAATGTTTCCTAGAGTGCTCTATAACTCTAGTATTAAAATAGTAGCCATAAACATAAGTATTAAAAATTTAACAATAAAACAAAAATACTGAAGGTTTCTTCAGGTGGCTGCGAACAATATTTGCTGTTTCATGCAAATAGACAACTTTGCCTTTCTAAAGAAATTTCTGCATTTTAGCTGGAACACCTTCAAAACTAGGGAAACAACACAACTTTTGACTACACTTTGATACTCTACAGGATACAATACGTGAAACTTGTGATCATGAATAATAAAGCAATATTTGTGAAATCCGCAGCAATTCAATCAAGTACCTTTTGTACAGTTCAGAGTGTCATATTTTCGAGGCCTCAGAACTTGAAAGTAGAGTGACATTTCAGTGTGCACACACCACTATTATGGTGCTTTAAAGGTTTTGAAAATGTACAGGCTTACCTCTACAAATGAAGGCAATGCTGCATATTGCCACTTAAACTAAAACAAGATCGGCTGCAGCGGCCCCCGAAAATTTAAATGAATGAGTACACTGATGTCTTACTAATATTTAATGCCTACTTTACCAAATTTAATTTAGATTAAAACAGTATGTGCACATTGTGGTTTGTAAAGGAGCTTTCAGTGTGGACAAAGATATCCATGTTGTTTAAACAATGATTGCCACTGCATTTAAACATGCCTTATTCAGCGTGCTGCAACAAGGCTTTTGAGCACTTAATTCAGGTGAGGAGGGAAATATGCATAGCAATTCCACAACATGCTGCTTGACAGATAAAATTTGTTTTGTGAAAATCAAAGAGAAAGCAGGTATTTCTTTCAATTCTTCACACCTTTAAGTACACAAGAAATATATTTTTATAACTCTCCATACTGAATGAAGTTTTACATAAAATTCTACACATATTGTGCATTCAAAATTGTATAGAAGACCACCACAAGGCTCTTACTAACATAGTTTATTAAATAGTTTATTACTGATGGAAGTTCCTTCTTTTTCTTTTACTCTCAAAGCACTGCTAGTGCCAAAAGTAAACTGAAATTCTGCTATAATGTCCTTGTAACTACTAGCTTTCAAATTATTGATTTTCTTAGTCCCCGTAAATAAATTAAAGCTTTTTGTTTTTTGCACTCCCATAAACCACCGGTGACATCTTGGCTGTAGACATTTACAAGACCCACAACTTGACAGAAAAAGCTATGCAATGACAGCAGAGCTTTGAAAACAGAAGAATGCCAGTCTTTTACAGCAAACAAACAGAAGCTTCAATTATTTTGCAGCAGTACATAGCAGACAGACTACTACTGTTCGCTCTACCCTTGAACATCAGATCAAAATATGAGTGATAATGCACAAAAGATTAAAAAAATAATTCACACATTTTCAAAGAGCTGTTCTGACACAAGTAGGTTGTTTAGAAGCTGTGCCTGTTTATGTTTCAGCATCCATGAAAAAAGATTTGCTAGAAAAAATTTGAGCAGTTTCGCTACATGCAACACTTATGGCCAACCAAATGTCTTATCCACTCATGTAATTTGCATTGAAAAATGACAGTTACAGGGACTGTGTGACATGCACAAAGGTACCACCTTGGCAGTGCACTTTTGAGATACAAAATGTAGTGGAGAGCAAGTGAGTGTGGCACACACAATATAAACCAAGGCTCTTTTAGGAAACTAAGCTCTTAAAAACTAATGGTGCTGGGGGGAAACTGCACAGGTGGCAACCTTATCCGCTTGGCTGTGTCTAGCTCCTTACAGTTCAATCTAGCATTTGAATGAGTTAGGGATGGTTCTGTATCCACTACTCTTGGCAAAGAGCTAGAGCTCGCATAACTGTACAAAAAAAAAAAATCTGTACAAGTTTTTGCATCCATTTCACATGAATGAGAACACTGCTGAAAGAATTTATACCAAATTCTTTGAAAAATGCTGAGCATGCAAAGTCCCCAAGAAGAATTGAGCTTCATTCATACCTCATATGCTGTTCATGTGTCACCTTCTATAGTTAATGAAGATAGTACTGAGTCTAAATCATCACACCATAATCAGCCTTTTTGTTATGCCCAAATGATTTACAATTTAATGTGTCTTGCACGAGCAGCTTTTATTTTATGCTTGCAAATTCTTTTTATTACACCCCTGCTTTTAACTTTCTCCAATCCTCAGCTGCACTAACCATCTTATGGTACACATTTGATTGTAAAACTGATTAATGATTATCTGCCATACACATTTCATGGCCTTCCTAGCTCCATTGTTTTTTCTTCCTAATCTCAACTTTAATATTAGTTGCCAATTGTTCTTCTTAATCTCAACTTTAATATTAGTTGCCAATTGTTTTACGGTCCACTTTGCAGTCTTCCATGTCTAAATGAATAAATACTGGAGTGCAGATGGCTTCAGCCAGATGGTCCTTTTACAACAGAAGTCCATTGCTGTAAAGCTTTGTTCATAGTGAACCTGTGCTGTGCATTTAATGCTCAGAAACTGCACAGTGGTTTATGAAGAACTGGAGGGATTCTTTAAAGGAACAGTGACACAAGATTTCGAGTTTGAGATTGGGCCTTGATCTGATAGTTTGGTATTCATGTTTTTTTGCCAAATCATGAATTGTGTACATTGCATGGAAGCTATTTTATTGTAAACAGCATATGTGAACAGCGTATGTGAACAGTGAGTGAACAGCGTATGAAGGCTCAACAGGATGTCCAGCACACTGCGACATCACCAGTACTGTGACTCATCGCCCTCGAGCACTGTGTGAAGATGCACTAGTAATGATTAGGTTGACAATTCTAGTGTTGTAATCGTGGCACTGACAAGCAACGATGCCTGGCAACAGCTTGACTCCGATTATCTGGGTTGGTTCGTCTCAAATTCAGTGTCTTCACCACACTGCTTAGAATCTTTTCTTGTGCAATCATCATTGTGTGATAATTCAGAGAAACAATCTCAACTGCATTATATCCAAATATATTGCGAAAAAGTTGTGCGAGGCTTACACCAGTGGCTTTTCAAGTACTGCAACAAAAAATTTTTATGTCATGGACAGTTACAAAGGTTGTTTAAAAATGCTTTCAGGTAGGACTGCACATGCAATATACATCTCCTGTCCACACATCTCCGATACGGATTGAATGTTTACCTTACACACCCACAGACTGTGCTGCACTTCGGAGGTTAATGATGACATGGACAGCTGTGCGCCAACAATGTCGTTTGACAAGGAATGAGATATGCGGAGCATCGTCAGCACGTGTGTTTATACGTGTGTGTGGCTAGGTGGTGAAAGGAGGCGAGCGCTGTAGAATGTAAGAATCTGAAGAAGCAAACAGAACTTCGAGTAACGAAGAGGGACGTTGAGGACAATCATTTGTATTGAATAAAACGTTGGCTATCCTTAGCCACAGTACTACTTAATTTTTAAGTTGGCTTCACTTTTTAAACCGAGTCAGTCCATTTTTTATAAGAAGGCTAACTTTTGAGAGAATAATGGGTGCTTCGCAGATGAGTGCATCACAGAAACTTCACAGAAATTGCATCACACCTTAACTGATACTGACACCTATCTTTATGTTGCACAATCACATGGGGCCCTGATTCAAAAGGTGCACTCTTAACGTCGCCAAAACTTGGGTACCCGTGATTTAATGATTCAGCGCAGCACTAGTTTCTATGAAATTAGGCAATAATCTTGAGGAATTTCAAAAGATTGTGAAATTAGCCATAATAAATTATACTAGTATTAATTACACTATACATTAGGGAACTTCAGATTTAATTTTGGGACCATCAGACAGAAAGCTACTAATTAAAGCATAAAGTCCCAAACATCAATTTTGCTGTCAGTGCTCCTCTAATTTTCTAGCAAACAAGCTATAAATAAGCTTGTTTGCGTTTCACCAAACTGAAATGAGGTCATTATGGTTACCAAATGAACCTGCGATCTCGTGCTCAGCTGCACAATGTCACAGCCATGAAGCCACAGAGATAAATGTTTTGTCAATATGTGCCTGCCCAATCTTGCAAAGATTTGGTCCTAACACTGACATCTATTAAGCTGGCTAGAAGAACTTATTGCCTGCTTAAAAAAAAGTTAAGGTGACTGCATAGAGGGTAGTACCGTAAAAACCGAAATGTAGGTCGAATTAAAAAAAAAATTAATGAAAAGTCATCCCTCGTCTTATATACCGGTTATTAGCAGAAAAAAAAAAAACATGGAAGTAAGTCTCACAACAATCGACAGTTAAGTCGAAAGCCTCCATTGCTATCGTGAGCATCAGCAGCGGCGCCATTGGGCAAGGCTAGGCAAGGCCTACGGTGTTCTATCAACACCATTTTGCCTCGGTTATCAGCTGTCAGTCTGCTGTTTTCATTTTTTCATTTCTTTCAGAAGTGAGTGGTAGTCGGCGGAAGTTTCACAATAGGCTTTAAGAAAAATGTTATCGAAGCGCACGGCAACCTGGTAGTGCAACAGGAATTTGGTGCATCAAAGAAAAGCATCCAATACTGGAGGAACCAAAAGCAGCGCATAGCATGCTGCACCAAAAACGTTTCGTGGACAGACTTCAGTGCACCCTGAACTGGAAACACTATTCGGCGAATTTATCCGGAAGCTGTGTGCAAGGTGGCCAGCTACAACAGCGAAGAGCATCCGCGTGAAAGCTTTCGGGATAGCGCACGACTCTGGGCCACGAAGGTGCAATTCAAGGGATCACAATCGTAGGGTGCATCAATTTATGAAGTGGAAGGGCTCTGCGCTGAGGCGGCGTACTTTCGTCTTTCCGCAAATGCTGCATCAGTAACGCATTGGATGGAATGGAGGACGATACACTCTGGGACATTACTAGTGAAAAACAGACATCGTCGTACTCAAGTACAGACGAGTCTGAGTGAGAGCACTTTGTGGCCTTCTGGCATTTAACTAAGTAAGATCAATGTCCAAATAAAAAGAAATGTCACCACAGTACAGCTGGTTGTCATGCATTTACCAAGGTAAGAGTGCGCCGCAATACTTTGCGATTTTTAAAAATTTCTTATTCAGTTTGGAGGGATCGACCTACATTCCAAACTGACCTATTTTCCGGTTTTTACTGTACATTAATTTTACAGGATAGCCTTTAGACTATGAGCAGAATGTTTAAATATTGAATTCTCTTTTGAGAGGTATTATTTACAGTTAACTCTGCCCAATTTTTGTCCATGATAATTGTTTTCAGCTCTTACAGATATATTTACTGTGTGAGACACACACATGTGACCCCATGATTCTCACCAAAGCAACTCTCAGTGTTCACAGAAGAGTAAGTTGCTAGACAGAGTAAAAAAAATATGTAGTGCTGCCCTGGCCATTGATAGTGTAGATGGAGCGCCATCAATAGACACTTCTAGGTGTCATACGGTCCCTGTAACACCATGGAGTTCCATTGAAACTGGCTGCAGTTGCTAGTCACAGTCTTTTAAACCAGTCAATAATAAATTTAACACATTACCACTCAAATTGCAGTCACAACATCAAATAATTCTTAAAGTAACCTGTCAGAAATTATGCACCACTTTTACAACTAACATTGTTCATACAGCTCTTAGCCACACGTCTTTATCCAATTTGGTACCTACAATAAATGTGTAATGAAAACTATGAAAGCATGTTTCCATTGTTGAAAACACGCAATGCCTTCAGTGCAAGAAACTAACAGGGAATAAAATAAAAGTCAGAACAGCTTTACAAGTATCATTAACGCATAATTTCATTTCGAGCTGCATGCCGCACTTTTTCCTACAGTATGCCACAATTCTCAAGCAATCGGCTGAAAGCCAGTCGACTCTGTAGCGGTTGCATTTTTAGGCATAATATCCCCTGAATTAAGCAGCACTGCCGGCAAGGCTGTAGTCTAGAAGCTAAAGAGATGCTTCTATCCGCTCCCGGATCTCGCTTCGGCACATGGGGCATACCTCCAGCTGTATGGCACATTCACTGCAGAAACCCCTGAAAAACAAAGAGGCAGTGAATGCGATATCAATATTTAGTTTCGTAGCCCTCATTCAATGTAATAAACATTTCTTGCTATTGCATTAAATAACAGTGAGCACCATACATTATAATTGCAACAACTTTGTTTGAAAAATGCATTAAAAAATTCAAACATTATACGTGGTGTCCCAAATGTTGTGCACCAAAATTGTTGAAAAGAATTGCAGTGTGGAAAGAAAGCCTACTACTATATTCATTTGAATCTGGGTCAATAGTCTTTTTCGAATTTCTTTGTATCAAACTCCAGGGTCGGCTTAGATTCGAGAATTTTGAAAAAAATAGTGCACAACTAGCACCACCTAGGTGGTATTGTAGCCGGGCCAACACCTGGCTAAAGCACTCACGCATGGAGGAAGGAATAATTCCTTTCTCCATGTGCACACGTGAGGCTGCCATTTTGATCTTTGTGGCGAGTCTTGAGGTGAGCCGTTTGCCAATTTGAGTCGCGCTTCGAGTGGTCTGTGTGCGACGTAGCTCAATAGTGCCAAAGAGGCAGTGCCATTACAGTGCCGCTTATAAAAGGAAAGTTGTCCTAGCCACGGAGTCGTCATCCAATGTTAACGCCGGGCGGGACCGCAGCATGGGACGACCATACCAATGCGCTTGATGGCCCCGGGGATTGTGCACTGTTTGAAGACAGTGACAGAAGACTCAGCAACGAGGGAAGCAGCAACAACGACTTGGAATGAGTGCGACCTCGGCAAGCGCGGCATCTTTATGATTCAAATAACTAGAAGCAGCGTGGAAAAAGTGATGACAAAGAAACACAACAGGACTAGCGGTTGTATGTTCTTTGAGTTATTTGCGTCATGAACCAGCTGCTTTGTTTCATTTTTATGTTCAATAAATGTTTTTTCTTTGCGCACGCTGTTTCGTTCCGCCTACATTCAAGGTAAGTTCCCCCACCCCACCACGCCTCCCCCGGGCTTCGGACTTTAGGGTGTTGGCTTAGAATCGGGGTCGGCCTAGATTTGAGTAAATACGATAAATATTATTTGTACAATGGAGTAGTCACCAGTAATTTTTGTTCATAATATTTATTTAGCTAATTATAATAAATTGACTTGACAAGTACTGTTATAAATAAACAGAATGTAATTAGGCAATTCTAGGTGTTTCAAAGGAATATTTAACTGCTGATTTTCAGCAACTTTTTCCAACTCGTAAAGAAACCCAGTGAAATATGAAAAATACTATGTGCTCCCACCAGCATGACCAAATACTGTGTTTGCACCAGCACCATAAAGCAGTGCCTCTAGATAAGCTAACTTCAAGCAACCACTCTGCCTGTTGAGTACTGTCACAGATGGTGCATTATTTTGATAATGGTACACAAGGAGCGCCAACAGCCCCAACATGCATCTCTGTTTTTGAAGCAATTTCTTCTGCCTAATTTTACCCCCACGCTCATCATCTATATATCAAGGCCAGCTGATACCATTGATAATGCTGCCAGACCACCACTTCAGCCATGGACTACTTTTGTCCATTCGCTCTTGTCATAATAGGTATTTTCATAAAAGATAAACTAAAAAATGAAGGTGTCCATTATAATTAACAGCAATCAAATATGGCAGTGCATCAGCATGCTGTCTGGCAACCCAAATATAACAATAAAAATTTCTGAGGTCTTATGTAAGAAAACCATGACATGATTATGAGGAATGCTGCAAAAGAGGGTTCCACATTGCATAGTGTGCAAGCCTTTCGCATTTTACCTCCATCAAAATGAAACCGCCACGTCTAGGGCCAAACCCTTGTCTCTAGGAACAGCAATACAAAATCCCTTGAGTGGGTGTGATATGACCTGACGATGACCTGTAATTTCATTTTCAAATGACTGTAAATATGAAATTGTGATACAGGCTTGGTATAAACAAATGAAATTTTATCATAAAGAAGTTAGATGTACCAAGGTACAGTTTGGCAAAATAAGCATGGCAACTGCAGCGCTGACATTGGCACCAAAGAGAAAGTCATAAACAACCTGCTAAAGAAATGAAACAATCGCAGAGGACCCTAAGATACAGTGTCACAATGGATGAAATAAGCAAGCAGCACACTAACTTGTGTTGGCAAGGCTCCAGCCGAACCGCAGCACTGCGGTCAAAACATAGGGTGCAGGAATCTTCACGGACACTACTGTGCCTTAGCTTCTCCATACGAATGTGCCTATAAAGAAAAATTTACAGTTGATCAAGTTCTGCCTATCGCCAGTACAGCAACAAAGTATGACAATATGCCATGAAGGAGGAGTTGAAGTGTAAAACTTTAATATATTGTTAATTTTAGTGTATATGTGCTTCCTGTAATTCAAAAATCATACGTACTGACCACATCTTTATTTGAAGCTATAAAAATTTATACTGACTTAAAAGCCACTTTGTGTAGTTTATTGGATATCAGAACATAACAAATCTGGGCTGAAGATGGTTGTACTACTTTGACCCACAGTAAAAATAGACATAAGTAGAAAGATGATAATTGGTGAACTTTCAGAAGACTCACTGTACTATTTATTAGTATAAAAGAATCTGTCATTAGAAAATTACTGTTTTACTATGCATGCACTAAAGTCCCAATTGGTTGGGGCTTTATATGAAGATTATATACACCACCATGTACACAAGGAACAAGTATTCTTACAAATGAAAGATTAGTCAAACTGCATCACAATATTTATCTATTCTACATTTGGCTGACTACACAGAGCAGAAATAATAAGCAGTTACTACTACAGATGCTACCATTACACCGGCATCAAAGACACCAATCTTATTTTGACATCTGATCTAAATGCACATGGAGACATAGCGATTGTGGTACTTTAAAACAAAAATAGTACTGCATTTCTACATTACAACAAATAACAAGACAGGTAGATTATTCTATGATATCACAGTATCCATGCACAGCCTTCAAGAGTGTGTTTCATGCATTAAAGTAGTTGTTGCTGTTGAATTAACTTTACTATAGTCCAGAGAAGTAGTACATAGTTAAATTTTGCAAAGATTAAGTTCAGTCTGCTGAAATAAAAAAGCGAGAAAGAAAACAAGAAAAAGAACTCTTTAAATTTATATAACACAATAATAACTTTCATTTATGCTTTTGAATGGCCATGAAAAAGCATTCATGTAACACATCTACGACACCTCTGATGTTAATGACAAAACGAAACACAAAACTACCAAATTTTGTTCATAAAATCTAGCTGCTTAACTACAACATGCAGTAATTAGAGCACAAGCTAAATGATTACATAATTGCTGTAAGATTGTAAGACATTGGAAAGTGGGAAAAGATGTGTAGGAAAAATGAAAGACTAGCCCTCCTTTAGTTACATGGCTCTGACCCTTTCGCTAACAACCATACACAAACATACACAGAAATATAGAACATCTAGATAAGAACAAAACATAGTTACTGAGAGGAAAAATAAACAGCACTTCTAAACAAGATCAGAGCTGACTGCATTTATGATCTATCTATTGTGTTTTTCTCACACATAGAAAAATAAATTTTGCATTCACATTCAGGGCACCCACATTGGCTGTTATGATTGACTTCGAGGAGTGTAAACAAGGGTTTTTTTTTTCCCCTATCACCACTTGATTAGGTGTGCCACTTCCCAATCAAACCTTTCATCATCACTCTTGCCATTATACTGGAGTGAGCGATGACTACTCATCAGATAAGAGATGCCTTTGGCACTGTGCAAACACCACAAGGTAGCTAGCTGTTCTCCATTCCCTGCCAGCATTTCATGCAGTGAAGTTTCTAGCAGTCTTTTGCATGCTTCACTGTTAGAATCCTTGACCATTGTTCAATCACTGGCACTAATTTGATTTAGACAGGATTCTCCAGGCTACAGAGAAATATCTCAGGGATCTCAAGGAACTTGCGTTAAATAGACTCATTCATATGCCCCTGATCTTGTCACCCTTTGAAGAGTCTGACAGCCCATGCAGCAACACGTCAGCTCGTTCTTTACCAGTACAAGAAAAAAAGTAGCTCCTTCTAAGAGTTGGCATGCTCATAGCCACAGTGCTTCCAGGCACATGTGAAGTGCACCATAAACAGGAAACCACAACATGTAGTTATCACAAGTACAATATCAATCATTGTTTTTGCAGAGCTAAAGCCTCAACAGCACATGAAAATCAAAAGCCATCAAAAGTTTTTTAGAGTCATGGCTTGTACCTTCTGAGAAACACACTGTGGGTCTCACCTTGGCAGAATAATTTTGTCTTCTTCAGACAGGTGGGCAAAAGAATTAAAGCAAGAGAACTCAACTCCACTAGGTGGGAACTTGAACGGTGAGCGCCCAAAGTTGAACTCACACTGCTGAAATGTCATAAAACTGGCAGCAGCAAAGAAACCGGATCTGGAAAACAACAGAAAGAAAATTAGCAAAAACAAGCAAGCAGGTAAACACCATTGCTTTGTTAATCAGCTTTTAATACCTTTCTCAGAAGTAATACGACTACATCTTGTACAGACACTTATAATTATATTTGTCACAATTTAGTCTGAGTACCTTTCATGGATTTTCAGCATGATTACAAGAGACAGCAGAAGCACAAGTAAAAGCATTTCAACATTATTTTGTCAATAAAAATAAGCTTTACATTCAAAGACAGCAAAGTATTTCAGCTATGGGAACATAGAACACAGGATGCACAAAACACCAAATGCGACAGGACAAAAGCTCTTTTCCCATGTCCAACCATGGAACTAAAAGTTGATTTGGTGATTGATATGTGGGGTTGAACGTTCCAAAATCACCAGATGATTATGAGAGACGCATGGAACTAAAAGTTGATAGGCCTGTAATTGGAAAGAACAAAAGGAAAACTGACATTGCACACACAGCATGTACGACCAGCTCCTTTACAACCAGCGGTGTGCGAATAGTGAAATTTCATCTCGACTCGAATTTGAATCGAATAGTACCTAAAAGTGGCCCAATATATCAAATATTCAATCAAACTCCAAATGCAAGACATTTTGAATGAAAGAAAAAAAAATTAAGTTTGCTTATATCCTCCAGCACAAAATGCAATAAGTGAATGCTGCCAAAACACTACAAAATTGTAATACAACGGTAATATTGTGTTTTATCACCATGAGTGCTTTGTGCCCGAAAACATTTAGGTGCCCATTCACAGCAGAATTTTCATTGCGTGCCAGAACGATAAGAGTCTGAACAAGTGGTGCGGTCCGGCAGTGATGAATGCAAAGCTTGAAGAAATTTTCACATCAAAAGCCAATCACCGAATGTTTCATGGGACAAAATAAGGACACTTTGTGGAACTTGCGGTATACGCGACCAACATATGCAAGAAGTTCGTGCCTTCATTTTGGAAGCGAAGTTGCAAAGAGCATGGCATTTTCCCCATGTTTTTTTTTTTTTTTTACACAAGAAAATGACAATCGTCTTCACAATAAGCATGTATTTGCTTTTGAACCAGGACATAAATTAAAGTTTTATCAAAATGCCCACTGTATTGATAAACTTAATTTAACCAGTCCACCATAACTAAGTTACATCACTGTCATTTTTCGTGTTTTAGATATTCATAGTATTGATCAATACTTTGAATACTAGCTATTAAAAAGTCTAATCAAACTATTCGATTAAGTATTATTCCATTCAAATTTGAAATTTGAATATTTACACACCCCTATTTACAAAACTTGGGATGCTTTGTGACTGCGCTCAGCATGTGGCAGTGGAGTAGCATAAGGCAAGTGGACAAAACTTAAGTTTCCTTATGAAGCAGTGTATAGTAACTGTGCAGGGGCCTATCTCACGCACTTCAGTGTCGATGCCAACTCAAACACTCCAATATGACCACCAGGAAGCCTAGTGTGGCAGTACTGCAACAGGTGCTGCTGTGATGCATTGGAAAACCAACTGCCATACGAAAATTACACATGCTATTAGGAGCTGCTTGAAGATGAAGTTTGCTTGGCTTGACCACATCAGAAACATACACACAATTTTGGCTTTAGAAACATTACAGTCCATTTAGCCTGTAAGGTCAACATGGGTGTTAAAAAAGGCAAATATTAAGTAAACATATATTGCTGAAATAGTATTCCAGACACATTTCAGTGCTGGTTTTGTGCCAAGGGAATGCTTAGTTCGAAAGAAAATCACGTTTTAAAGGTCAACATATTCATAACACAATTCATACAGCCAACCTCTATGAATGGGCTAGTGATGTAGACTTTGCCATGTCCTCCCTTTCCTGCCAGACGGCCAGTGCTATGGCACAGTGGTAGCTAGGTACTTTGGCACGCACATTCTCCACATTTAAAGACGATAGTCTTTCTTGGGGACCTTCGACGCAAAAACTTTGGTCTGTCTGTCTACATTTGTCTGTTTGTCCACCCTTATCGCGAACCGGGTACTTTAAACAGCACCAGCGAACCGAATGGCCGACCCCATCCGCAGCGCCCACCAATGTTGCTCAAGATTCAGCATTCATATGTGCGCGATTGTCAATTAAAAAGCAATTATTGCACGTATCTGAGACACCATAAGAACACATATATATTCTGCATGTGCGTATTTTACTAGAAAAGGCATACATAAGTAATTCTAAGGACCGTAGCGTTTATCACGGTGCGCTGACCATGCAACGCTTGCACGAAGAAGCGAGTGTTTCCAACGCTTTGCTAAGACGACACGGTGGTGGCACCTACCCATCGCCTTACGTTCCACACCTTATCGCCTCTGAGACGGGTGCACACCCGTCTTAGGGCCACACACTTTGTTTCAAGAAAAAACAAACAAAAAACTGTTAGATGGCGGTCATGTCTCACGTGACGTGACTTGATGCGCTCGTTCGCCTTCGCTGCACGCTCGAGGCACTCTAACGCAGCGCCTCCGGAATACAATTCACCGATTTTCTTGCGCAGAACATCAAATAAATGTTTTGTTCACTCTCTCCACACGCAAGACTATCGTCTTTCGACGACATTCGCAGATTACATGCAGATACGGGGCCAATTTTTTTTGGTGGGAACATCTGCGTCGTCTACTATAGTGCAGCCACCATATTCAGGCTTACCCTGTCTTGCCACTCTTAGTGGGCACTGCAGAAAGGCAGGTGCGGGGAGGGGAGGGGGGGGAGGGGAGAGAAACAGCGCCATCACCTTCTCTAAAGAGCGGCCCTGTGATTGAGCATAGCCAAGCAAAAAGTGAAAAACTTCTCGACCAGCTGTTCTCAAGGGTAAAGTTTTTTTTCTTCCCAAGAATAAAACTGAAATTCGCAAGTTGCATTCTAGTCCATCTACTATGTTGTACTTCACTACAATATTGTTTTCTTAGCACGAACAGTTTGAGTACTTGTACTTAATCATATTGAGGACCTTCTACACTATCAGTATATGATACCAGAATGTCCCACTGGTGGAACAAATAATTTTAGTTTAAGCTTTCAATTACTAAAGCACTACTTTGCATACTACTGGCATTTTAGATGTTCTCAAACATTGACCTTTCACTTTGACATAAATTCTTGTTTGCCTTTGGTGTCCCTTTAAGCAACACGTATGACACCTTGGCACAACCATAGCGCAATAAATGTGAAAGGCCGTTGTTTGGTATTACTTTGCAGCTGTTTGGTATTACTGAGAAATTATTAGTATTTCCATTTTGGTGCACTGCGCAAGTCACGCAAACCTTTCACCAGCCCATTATTTAGAAAACTTGGTGGTAAAGAAAGACAAGAATAGCAAGGGTGCTATTGCGGAGTGTTCCTATCAGGATTCTAAGTCTTATCTTATGCCTTTTGCTCCCACTAAATGTCCGCAATTGAATACAATTTCTGGGCTGCCCCTTTTGACCAATGGCAGACGGCTAATGGCGACAAACAGCATAAAAAAATCATAGAATCTCGTCGCCATAGCACTCTGACACAAAACATAAACGATGAAACAGCAATCCCTTGTTATTAATTTCTATGGCAATTCTTGCCTCTATTTAGCTGTAAGCATGTCCCAGAAGAGTGTACAAATGGAGACAAAACATGAATTCAAGACTGAGCAACTTTTTATCAATTGTAGAACTTGCTATTTATTAGTGTGTTCACAATAATTCTCCGCAACTACCAAGCATAACCTCTGGAATAAAAGCCACAGCTCAGAAGCCAGCCTAACCATTTGTGTTCTCAATTATTGCTATAATATGTTGCAGTAGATTACTTGAGCTTTCCTGACTAGCAGATTTATTATGCAATGCCAGAATTATTTTATGTACTATTTCATAATGGTTCACGAAGGTGAATATTCGTGATGGCTTTTCTTCTATCCAATCATTTACTCGTGTATGCAATGTTATTGCAGTTTTATCTCCACGCTTCTTTTCTAACTCTAATTAAGACCTTAGAAAAAGTTACAGGTATATAATGATGCAAGTATTTGGTGATGGGAAAGTAAATAATCACAGTTTCACCCAATATGTGAAGCACTGATAGAGATAGGTATGCATCTAATAGCTGTAAAAATATCTGTAGCTTTATAAATCCTGTATATTACAGAAGACATTCACACACTACCTATTGCATAGTGCCTTTGTCAAAGTAATGAGCAATCTGATTTTTGCTCGATACTTATTTATCACTTTTAAGTGTCTAACTTTTTTTTGTAGGATCAACTGCGCATGGAGGTGGACCCTTGACCTCAAGGTAAAAACAACTTACTTGGCATTCTGAAAGACTTGAGTGTTTGGTGGCAGGGGCTCCCCGTTGAGGTAAAATGTAATTTGGAATGCTTTCATGTCGAGCAAGGTGCCCAGAATGTCACCTGCAAAGAAAGCAATATTTTTAAGATGCAACTTTTCATGTTTGCACACAATGTCATGTATAAGTGAGCAATATATATTTTTCCTAATAGACATGGCATATCAGTACATTCCTTTTAGTGAAATTATCTATGTGAGATTGTTACTTTTTCCTAGGCTTAATCACCAGGGGAGGTAACACAGCTATTGTAGAGCAGGTTAATTGAAAAAAAAAGAACATTACCAAAACTGAAAAATTTTAATTTGGAGCAGCTATTCAATGATGTGATTACAAAACTTTCTCTGCTCCATAATCTTTGCATCAGCTTTTATAGTCATAGACAAACTCAAGGCGTGATGCCACTTGGTAGACAAAAGCCTTAGTTTGAACTGCTGTCCGTTCTTCAAGACAAGTGTTTAATGCTATTTATGCATTTTTTGCTATTTATGCATCTATTACGTAATTGGTTTCAGACTAGTTTTTAGCACTCGTCAAAATAAGGCCTTTGAGATTGGCATTTCTTTCCATTGTCGCCTTTGCGTGGACTATTCATCATCATTTTTTGGAGGAGATTGTGTGTTTCACAGTCCGACTGTCTGCGCTGGTCGTGTTCTGTCTTTTTCACACCTATAATTGTTGGTGCCAAAATAATTGCATACGTTGATTACACTTCTGTGAATGACACCGTTCTCAGCTACACCGTTCTGTCCATCAGCTAAATAGTGGCTTAGTGGGCCAATGCGTGCACCAGTGACGTAGTTAAGGAGTTGGTAGAGTGGGGGTAATTTTCTTCAAAGATCGCTTATGGGTATACTTTCACTTCGTGCAGTGTTCGACATTCTAAAATGAGCCACGATGCTTTATCACTATGGCAACAGTACTACATTATTGCTTAGAGATGCTCACACATCCCCCGACAATCTCGCGAAGAAGGTATTGCTAAAAGTGAGTGCTCGCCAGGTGCTCCCACTATATTTATTAAAGGATATGACACTGTGTGTGTTTGAAAACGTTGTTGTGTTGATTGAGCATGAGTGAACGCACCAGGCAACATTGTACTTTTTTTTTTCAAGCGAAAGTATATAAATAAATTTTGTACCACTAAATGTGCTTTCTCATTTTTCTTGTTTTTCGGCTCTTGCCTTTCTTAGCTGTTACATATATTTCTTATAGTCGCTTCAAAAACATGTCAGCTGGTTTCTACAGTACAATTAAAGCCAGAAGCTGGTACTGGTTTCTTAACAATTTTAAGATTTAATCACAAAATGAAGAAACCCCCTCATTTTGTGCTGTTACAATGCAAAAAAAAAAAAAAAAACAGTAAAGAAATTGAGCCTCCAAAATGCCTTCCTGCCGGCCCAACAAGTCTTCAAACGCCAAGTACTTTTCGCTGTTACATAAAGATCCCTGAACATTATTTGTGAAGTTTTCAAACAAAAAGTAAAGCGTCTTTACTACTGTTAAACTATAGTGAGGTCCTGGATGTAGTAATTAATTACAATGATAATGCTTAAAGCTGCATAAATAAATCATAGCAAATTAACAGAGCTGAGATCAACACCACAGTAATAACAGAAATTTCTGTCATCTCGTTTTCCTCAAGAGAGGGCAACTTTCAGATAAAGAAAAATAGCCTTCTATGCTGACATCCTTCAGCACCAGTAAAAATACACCATATTGCCATGTTACTTTCATAGTATTCTAGAGCAACTGACCACTTGTAATTCTTTGGCATCAAGAGCTTCGGCATTAGCTCTTTCACTACCACACGAAAAGGAGCCGTTTTTACTAGGTGTGAAAAATGTTTTTTTTTTTGCGGTAAAATACTAATGCCTTATTTACATTATTTGGTACCAAACTGTAGCTAGAAAAATGTTCTGTTGAATAACGTAAATGCTGCATATATATTTATTACACACATTAAGAAAAAATGCTTATAATGAGAAGTTTATGCAGCAATTATACAATTATTTCTTTAAAATGAAGGGCAACATAAAAAAAGAAGAGGTTAAAAATGATTCAAGATATAAAATTTGTAGCTTCTTATGTTGCAGAAAAGGTTGTACAAGTTTCAAAAATTATTGCCAAATACTGCTCTTTCCACAAAAAAGAAAATTCATGAGGGTGCAGCAGTGTATGGGTTATCCTGGGCAGCTTACCATTGCAGAAGGCTCAGAGTACATGACACTTAGAAAAACAAAGAATGAAAAAAGAACGGCTTCGGGGCATAATATTCGGAGAAATCAGTCCTGAAAATAACTCCTAAGTATTCCAGTAGAGATAAAGGCGAGGCAACTCAACAATTCCCATGTAGATGAGGATTCCAATGCACTTCATCGGGACTGAAGTTCCTCCACGAACCGTCTCTTTCCGCGTATGTCCAACTCTCTAAAATATGCATCTGTGCATATTTGTTGGTGTAGTTACAGGTCATGTGGTCAGCTGTGCAGTAAAAAAACAGCTGGAAAAAGTCGACGGCACAAATGAAGAGCTGTGCATTACTGCGCCTCTGATTTCGACCCTTGGGTTTTGTCTCGAAAGAAACTGCACACGCTTGATAAATGCCGGCAAAGAATCATGTTCCTAGGAAGTTGAGACTCTCAACATGAGTAAAATTGCTCTGAGTACACGCTCTGCCCACCCGTAACAACTAATTAGACAACAAGATGTGCGCCACACACACAGCCGACTCTCACTAGCTCGATGTTGCGACTTGACTTGAAGCATACTTGTCGTCAGTGCTGAAATTTGATACGTCAACATCTTCTCCAGGCTCACTGCTTCTGACTTAATCCTTCAAATTTGATGTTGATGCGGATGATTTGTGAGGAATGCGCCTTCCTTTAGGAACGTCTAAATGGGAAAACGACGCCATGATCGGCACACTTACGCAACAACCCAAATTTTTAAGCCGCGAGAGAAAAACCTTTTCTAAAGCAAAAAACAACCAAAACATAGCGGATCTCGTTGAGCGTTTGCTACTTTATTACCTAGATGGTGTTAGGTGCCCGTTAACTCCATGAGTGCGCGAAAATTTAAACTTGAAATGCATCGTTCAACTTGAACGATTCGAATAGATGCGGTCGCGAAAGAGTTGGTGACAATTTCCTTGCTTGACCCACACTTACCTGGTTTCCAGCAAGGATGGTTATGGCTTTGGCTCAGGGCATTGTACCAGATAAGTTGCCGGCACCCATCATAAGCTATCGAGAACTCGTCGTCACCAATTCCATAACCCTCCTGCAGAAGCAATTTTACTGAGATGAAATTTTCCTTGTGAACAAATCAATCAAACAAACTAGCACAGGCACATGCTATTTAGAAAGAAATGTTGCACTTAAAAGCAATTTATTGTTGTTCACTACAAGACTCAAACAATAGAACACACAACTTTTATCATATCAGATAGTATATTATGAATAGATACATCTATTTTGTATAAAGAACACAAAAATGTCATGAATCTTAATTTGCTGAAACTTATTCTTCATATGTGTCCTCTCATTTCTGCATCTTTTGCAGGAGAAACTGTCAATCCAGAGCTCACAAAACAGCTATGTTATGTACAGCATACATAAGAAACGCAGTCAATACTATGTCGATCACACTTAAAACACACTAATGCTTGATGTTCAATGAGCACTAAATGGAACAACAAAACCAAACTTTTTTAAATACATTCTTCAGACAGAAGCAGGATCTATTAAAAGACGCATTGTTTCATTGACTACCGACATGGTTTCAGAGAAAAACCAGCAGTGCAAGTTGTTGCAGCTTCAAAAGGAAAGTAACGACTGTATTCACTACCATAGTTAGCTAAGCCAGTGCAGCTTATCAGAGACTTGTATTCGATAAGCTTGCCAAGCCTGACATAATTTTTGACATGCATGGTTCAGCATTTCAAAATGATATTTAATCGCAAGCAACTGAATGCAAAGCCCGTAATGTCTTTAGTGTACTTTACAATGGCTTTAGTATACATTAGAGTAACGTTTCAGTTACAAAGAGTAAACAAAAATCAATTGATAATTAATTTATTATTCATGTTTACAGAGGCCATGAACCACCCTTAGCACTTGGAATGAAAAACAACATTAATTGAGTTGAACGCCTCCCAAGAATAAAAAGTCAAACAAATTTTTCGAAGGCTACAGTAGAACTGGAGATACAGCGATCGCTAGGTTTGACTGATGCATTCCCCATTAACTCATTTCATTCAGCAGGAGAAGGCAGTGCTGTTTATGGTGCCTTGCTCAGTGCATTACGTCACCTCACTTCAATGTTGTGTGGTTTCCTTTCCGCGTAACTTGGCAGTTCTGACGGTTGCTGATGGCAACTCATAGTTCTGATCGGCTGCTTCTTACTGCGCTGTAGGTACTGTAGCTGTAACTTGGGGAAAATGGAAGGAGCTTCAAGTGCGCACGAGTGAAGCTACCACAAGCTGCAGTTTCGTCCTGGAAGAGAGCGCACAATCACTCGTTTGCTGTTGGCGGGCCAGCGTTTTTTCTTTAGTTTGAAACAATGCCCGCCTGTAGCACTGCAAACTGCTCAAGCTGACTAGCAAGTCCCTTATGACTAGGAAGGTCTTCAGGGAAGATGTTTCACATAAAGGTACCCTAAAACTGCACCAAGTTTTCGCTCATATTACTAGAGAATAAGCAGCGTGGTATGATTGGGAATCACCAGCATTTTCGTCCACTCCCCTACAAAAAAAACTTGAAGGGCAAGCTGAGCGTAATTTTTCCCTGTTACCAGATGTTGGCAATATAGCTAGCTACATCGTAGGCTTTCTGTGCCCGATTCTGTGGCGGCGGATCTCCTGTGCGACGTGCCACTGGTGAAGCATCAATAGCATCGGCGTCCGATAAATCAGCGGTTATGTTCACGTTTCCTCCCGAGCAGAGGTGCCACAATGCATGCCTCATTACAGCCTACGCTATTAAAAAACCCAGTAATGCTGTCTCAGTGCCGTACATAAATACAGCACCACAGCACTGTTGTGCAGGATACTGGGAGGCTGGCAGACTGCACGATGCGTGCTTGACGGTGGCGCATGACACACCCATCTTAGGCTAAAATCGGACTTAGAAATTGCTTTTGAACATTCTGTTCATGAGCAGATAGTAATGCTGACCGTTGACGCACACAGCAATATGAAGCTGACATGCTACTGCTACACTACACTTCAAAGAACGAGCGTGGTGTTCTCAATTAAGGTGGTAGGCCACCTTCAAAAGTCTTTTTTTTTTCGCGAAATAAATTTTTAGGGTTTTGTTTTTCTTGCACGCCCAAACATTCACATATATGTTGCAACAAAAATTATCCTCCTAGCGTCATTAGTTTGCGAGTTACAGCAAGTTTTCCATACCCTATGCTCCTATAGCAAAACTGAAACCACATTTCAAACTGTGGTTTCGGTTTCGAAAAATCGCTTTCAAAAGCAAGTGTTGTTTCGTCTATATTAATGCTATTCAAAATACTTTATGCATTTTATTGTGACTGTTATATAAGATGATGTCATTAAATACAACTTTGTGTTTAAAAGTCTTCGTTATTCTCTAACAGCCACAAGGGGGGACGCACAATGCTCGTCGGAATTTTCGTTGTTTGCCTTGGTCAGGCTACGTCAGGCTTCATTCTGCATTTGTTCCACGTGTCAATGCTACTAGGGCTGTATCCTTAGGCCACCTGGACCATATTACAACCAGCATGGGGAAGTGCAGAACACAGAAGACGAGGAAGCGCAAGTTTGCTGGAAATCGCTACACGACGACGAGGCTGCCTACTGACACAGACGCCTGTATTTCGGCGACCACGAAGAAGCTTGGGGGACATAATCAAGGCGTACCAGGCTCCACTAGAGAATTCTGCACTCCAAGGGAACAGGATAATGGACATTGGTATTCTTTCTTCAGTGTTTTCATCGCTAGCATGTTCCGAATACATGAACACAACACTGAAGCTCGAGGAACGCTCTCACCAAGGGATATGCTCGGCTTGTGCGGTCGTGTGTACCGACTGTGGATTCAAGCGCCCATTTCATACGTCGAGAAAGGTGGGTCGTGCCAATGAGAACAATTTACGTCTGGTTTACGAGATGCGCCAGTTAGGAAAAGGGCACGGTGGTGCGAAAACTTTTTCCAAAGCGATGAACATGCCTGCTCCTCCAGATCACTCCGCCTATGACAAATTGTCATCTCGGCTTTCTGCAGCGGCAGGAGAAGTGGCGTTGAAGTCAATGACTGATGTTGCTGTGGAAGTTTGTCGTATTGTGGGGAGTGCCGAGTGTGGTGTTTCAGGTGATGGCACGTGGCAGAAGCGTGGCCATTAATCTTTGAACGGTTGTGTGTCTGTGATTTCTGTTGACACGGGAAAGGTTATTGATGTTGAGGCCCTTTCTAGTTCGTGTAAGTCTTGTAAAACCAAAGCAAGTTGAGGCAAGATAGTGCTTCGTACCAGGAATGGAAGGCAAACCACACTTTCTGTCAAGCAAACCATGAAGGAAGTTCTGGCAGTATGGAGACGGTTAGTCTATACCATATATTTGAAAGGTCGAAAGGCAAAAGAGATTTGAAGTACCTGCAATACTACGGCAATGGTGATTCCAAGAGCTATGCCGCTGTCAAAGACATGTATGGAAAGGCCAGTGTGCAGAAACTGGAATGTATTGGGCATGTCTAGAAGCATGTTGGCTGCCGCCTCAGAAAATTGAAGAAGACAGTGCGTGGACTCGGTGGTAAGGAAAAGCTCACTGATGCCCTCATTGACCGCCTGCAAAACTACTATGGCATCGCCATAAGGGCTAATGTGGGGAACCTTTCTGCAATGAAAAAGGCTACCCTTGCCAGTCTTTTTCCTTGCAGCTCTACCGACAAGCAGCCGAGACATGGCCTGTGTCTGCTTGGACCGAAAAGCTGGTGTGGATACCAAAGGGTCCAAGCACTCGGCCAAGGGAAATATGTACACAAAGGAGGACTTCCAAATGATGTGCTCAACAAAGTTAAAACTGTCTACAGTGATCTGTGCTCTTATGAACTTCTAATGAAGTGCCTTCGTGGAAAGACTCAAAATGCTAATGAGTGTTTCAATGGTCTAATATGGTAGCGGGCACCCAAAGAGGTCTATGTAAGCTTGCCTACAGTAATGTTTGCCTTGCATGATGCTGTGGCACACTTTAATAATGGCAGTGTAAGCACCCTAGATATCCTGAGGCAAGCTGGCATAGAACCAGGGTACCACACGACGAAAGCTTGCATCGCCAGGGATCACCTGCGCATGCAGAATGCTAAACGCAACTCAGCGGATGGGACAAAACAGGCCAGGAACAAAAGATGAGCAGCCACCTAAACAAAAGGAGACAATAATGCTTCTGCAGAAGAGCCCAGCTGTGAATCTGGTGCATTTTAGGCCTGCATGCGAAGATTGTGACCCTTTTTACAAGCTCGGAAATCTTTGTTTACGTTTTTCTGAAAATAAAAATTTGCTCCAAATGTTGCGACGCAAAACTTTCATAACGTATTTCTCAGCGTATACTTTAAACTGAAATTTTGCAAAATGGTTTACAACATATATATCTGTGCAGTGAACTAGAATAAAACAAATCCATTGAATATTTTTCAGTTCACAGCTGAATTCTCCAACAGGTTCAGTCTAAATTGGCTCTTTTTCCCCGTTTTTTTGTTTTTTTAGCATTACTTCCTTGATATTCACTGCATAATATTTATTTTTGTTCACTGCATAGCTCCAGCCATTAGTTACACAAATGTCAAAGCTTTACTGAATAAAGCCACCCATTAGTCACTTCTCACAGCTGGCATGGCTAGCACTTTCAATGCAATTTTCGACAAAGATTACCTCCCAATAAATAAATATTCAATATTTTGCACTGTAAGTAGCTGGGTAAATTAAATAAGACATGCTGGTTTTGAGAAAAAAGTTATTTCAATGCTGCCTGCCCTTAAAAAAACTTTTGCTTTTGAGTGGCCTACCACCTTAAGCTTGGGGAAAATATTCGAATGATTGAAATATTCAAACGAATAATGCAGTATTCAAATTTACTCTGAATCGATTATAAATTATTGAAAATTTCAAATTATTCAAGACAAATGAATAGATGCATATTAATCCTCATGTAACATTCTGTAAAGATCGTTTCACTACAGTGAAGGAGTCCTAAGCAGTGAAAGCACCTAATCAAGCACATATTAGTTCACATGATTTTTTGTAAAAGTGGCTTCATT